GATGCACTGGAGCTGTACTTGCCCGTCTCTCACATTCCTCCATGAATCCTTTTCTGCACTAGATTTAGGCAAAAACTAGGAGGGTGCGAGGGAAGAGTAAGTCCTAAGAAGGTAGAAAAATGTTCTGTTTGAGCTGCAGGACAATTGATTCAGGCGCCAGAGGACTGACATGGGGAATAAAAAAAGGATGGCATCTAGAAAAGGGGTATATCAATGCCAACCACTGGACATCTTTGGATTCTCTGTTCTCTCTTTCTGGGGAACAGCGGCTGGGGGTGAGGTGGTGAGTGGACAGTATGAAGGGTCTTTGGTCTGTGTGAATAGGTACTTGCTGACAAGAGGCTGGTTTCAAGCCATTAAAAATCCAGTTTACTGGCATCTCAGAAAGGCAGCAATTGTTCTATTTTCCTGGCAGGCAGGTTGCAACTTGCCCTGTTTGCCCAAGCTTTGGTTGAGTCCCCAAGGAGGATGGTCAGATGGTGACATTTCCAAAGCATATTCATCTCCTGGTGGGAAGAAACTCACTGAAGTGGCAGTGAGTCAGCTTCTTCCCGAGTCTCCAGAGTACAGGACCTATAGTCTGCTAGCTCTTGTGCCCGGCATCTCTGTGTCCTGTGGACAATCTAGCCTTTTTGGTGAGGTCTGACTCAGTTATAGTTGGGATACACCTTTGTGTATATGAGAAAGTTGGCATTTAAGGATGCCATGGGTTCCTGGACAGTCTTTTACAAATGGTGGTTCAAACTTCTCAGCACTGGAGAGGAAGAGACACTATCTTTCCAACCCAAGTTTGGGTGCCTCCTGGCTGGGTGACACTGGACAGGTGAACTAGCTTCCCTGAGCCTCAGACTCCTCATTTTGCTGTCAGTGCTGTGAATATTAAATGAGATAATGTGTGAGAACACCCTTAGATAATTCTGGCACGTAGGAAGTGCTCAGAAAGTGGTACCTGTGGCCAGTGCTGAAGGTACCGGTATTGCTGCCATTGTACTGGCACTTGAGACGTGGCTAAGGCTCTTCAGACTTCATTTCAGGGATTAAGTCTTGTGCCGTAATGCCCTCAGAAAACAAGTTTCAACAGTTTAATCCAGCATAGGTATATTGAATAACTCCTCTTTACCTTGAAAGAAAGTTGGGCTTCTTCAAATATATTATTCAGAGGAAGTAAACTCCAAAATTCAAGTGTAAACAACATAGTCAATCCTATAAATCAATGTGTAAACATGAGTGATGTATATTTAAATACTTTCTAAAGCCAAAGATTCAGAATAGAAAATAATGACTTCTAAACTTCAGGCTACATTAACTGTATGGCAGCTCTCAAGAAAAATAAGTTCAACTATTTGCTCAGAAAGTTTCCAAAGCAATGCTTTGGAGAGGAAAAAGAATGATCTACAGGCTAACATAGCTGTAGGCAACATGTGCTTTTTGGTCATCCTAACACTTCACTGACTAATGTTAGATAAGAGAAACTAATCGTTCATAAATGTCTTTTTCTGATGTTGCTCCAAGATGTACCCTCTCTTCTAGAGGTGAGGCAGGGCTTCCCTCTTCCACCATGCTAGCTGTGCCTACCCTCTATCCCATGGAAGTCAAGGCCTCTCACAGCATTTTACGTGAATATGTATATATATATATATTTTGAGATGGAGTCTTGCTCTGTTGCCCAGGCTGGAGTGCAGTGGCATGATCTCGGCTCATTGCAACCTCTGCCTCCCAGGTTCAAGTGATTCTCCTGTCCCAGCTTTCTAAGTAGCTAGGATTACAGGATTGTGGCACTGCGACCGGCTAATTTATTTGTATTTTTAGTAGAGACAGGGTTTCGCCATGTTGGTTAGGCTGGTCTCGAACTCCTGACCTCAGGTGATCCTCCCACTTGAGTCTACCAAAGTTTTGGGATTACAGGCGTGAGTCACCACACCTTACCCAAATGAAAACAATTTTAAATTCACGAATCCATAAGATTAAACCACCTCAGAGTGATTAGCAATTTCCAGAATTAATGGCTAATGTTCAAATCAATTAAAAATGACTGCTGGAAATAAAAAAGAAATCCAACATTTAGTAATACAAAATTATTTATTAGTAAAAAAGGAGAGAGCATTTGTTCATTACACAAAAAGGTAAAACAATTGAAAGTTGTCTACAAAAATTTAAACTATGAGCAAACAAAGTAGGAGTGGCACTATGACCCGGTTTGAGGACTTTATATGGTTAGGTTCGCATCAGAAAACTGGAAGTAGTGACATGTAAACTGTGCTTGGGATATTGTGTTACCAAGTTGCATATTTTGCAGTATCATCTAGACGTGGTAGAAAAATAGATATACCCATGCCATGTTCTGAATTACTGTAATATCTATTAACTATAGCAGATGTCACAGTTTGTTTCCCTCTTATAGAAATCAGTGGCGGCGGCTGCTGAGGGGGCAAAGTCCACACAGTCTGTGCTCGGGTAGAGGTACTCTGCCACCTGGAGCGCATCCAAGTCCTCTGCCTCACACGATGCGCAGTAGCAGATGGAGGCGGTGGCCGAGGAGAAGCAGCTGTACTGGGTGTGCGAAGGCAAGTGATGGTAGGAATGGTCTTCGGGGGGGTGGCCACAGTTTCTGGTGTCCAGAGAAGGAGGGGAATTGTAATTCTCTGGAGCATATGAAGGCAGCTGAACTGCTGAGTAACTGTAGTCTAAGGACCCAGAGAGAGTGGAGGAATTTGAAGGCGATCCTGGGATCTAGAGAAACGACAACCAAGAAACAAAGCTTGATAACTTAGACGGGATCAAAGGAACTGAACAGTGTGGACTTACCAATGCAGAGTGAGAAAATTAGGGGTAAAACACCAAACCCAACCAAACAACACCCAGCCCAAGTCTGCAGAAGCGATTTTATTTGCTGACGACACGATTTCATGACAGCACGTTCTATAGTTACCTATTTCTTTCCCAACAATACATTGCCTTGCTTCATTGGTTTCCTTTGTTATAACCCTACTTTAGAGGGTGCTCTGTTCTGAAACCACAAAATCCCATTGTGCTTCAAGTCACCTGCACCTCAAACCCTGCTGTATACCACAATCTAAGCTGCAGGTGGCACTCTGGGTGTTTCTCCACACCCTCACCATGGAGAACCAGGTCAACATGCAAAGGCAGAACCTGGATCCTCAAGGATCTTGGATTATCCCCGGGATATGCCAAGATGAGTCACTACGTGTCCCGTCACTAAAGTCTTGTTCCCCTGAGTGAGAGCTATTGTCTGTTTTCTCTTAAGCAAGTCAGCAGTTGTTACTGCGAAAACCTAAGTTGGAGGCTGGGAAGGACCTGGGTCACCGGGTCCCCACATTTTCCCCATGACAATGTCCATATTCTGCAGAGTTAATTTCCTATCCCCTCTAAAATTTAGTCTGATGCCCACACAGACTTTCAGCAAAAAGTGAAAAGTATTTACATTCCTTAAAAAAGAAAATGTTACAATTCAAGGTTTACAAAAAAACCTGTGAGTCTCTAAAAGACAACTAAAATAACTAGTTTCCAATAATAGAAACTTTCCTTCATTTTGAAGGATAACACGTTTTCAAACATTTGAGATCTATCAAGAACAGTCGATCTAATTTTTTTCAAAGATTAGGTCTTCATTTTTACTAACCATCTCAGACCCAAATGAGTTCTTGTGCTTACAGCAGACTAAATCCATCATTGAACCAGCCAGTTCAATGACAAAACAAAGCAAAAGCCCCCCGATGCAATGAAGTTTGGTACCATATATACACTGCCTTAATTCCATTTTCAAGAACTCAAAAATCCATCCAAAAATCCAAGAGCAATTGCTTAAACCACTGACTTCCAATTAGTAGGTATCTTGACTTCACAGTTTAAAAAACACTAAAGGAATATCGCCAGGAACCTCTTTGTATTGCTACACACCAACTTACCTGGTGATCTACTTGGGAAATCTAAATTCTGTGTGTATCCAAAGGTTTATGCCCTGCAGTGTGTGGCTACTTTATACACTGACTTTTAAATTCTTCTCTACCTGTTTCCTTGGATGATTTCCTTGCTGATAGCTTTTGTATGATTTCCCACAAGATGGTGCCAACTCACGAAGTAAAATAGTTAGCAAAAATCAGGTATATAAAAAACTGAGATAAATTACCAGGCTCTGGTTGAAGCAGAAAGGGGCGGCCTGGAAGCTGTCTGGGAAATGGTGTGGAGTACTTTGAATGGAATTGAGCAAAGGCTCTGCCGGGTGCATCTCTGTCTGAAAGTAGGAATCGAAGATCTGGTCGAGGCAGCTTGAGTTTTCTTCACATGAAACACAACTGGAAAGTTCTCGAGGTTGAAAATAACTGGGCGTGGAAGAAATTGGTTCAGGCTCAAAATACAGTCCTAGAGGAGAAAGGAAAAAGACAGATTTTTTCATAAAAATTGCAAAACATAGATTTGAATGGAGATCTATACTCTGAATATTTACTCTGTCTAGGGGGAAAAGGGCTTACCAAGGCCAGAAAAGGAAACAGGAATGCAGTTTGGACTCTTTATTTGTCTTAGCTAATTCAAGCTCCAGGGAAATGAACATGGTTAAAAATGTGGAAATTGGCTGTAAAAGTGGTTAGGGCAAAAATAAAAGGATGGTGACCCAATCTGTGTCCAAGTGTCACAGTCAAATAATGGCTCAAGCTTCCCCTTTCTTGGGTTTGAAACCATCAGCATCCAGCCCCTACCGGCAGTTCAGGTAAACCTCTCAGAAGTCACTGACTGTTGTTGAGGCTTTGAGAAGACTTCTGATGCTATGTGAAATAATTTTCTTGACTTAGGGTGACTGCTTTTCTGAGCTGCTCACTCTTACTCAGTAATTTAAGTTAGGAGGAAAGAATGTTGAGAAGTGATTTAAATGGGAATGCAAATGATAATCATGGAAGCCAGGAACACAGAGTACCAATTAGCACGATTGGCTCGAAATTACAAAAAGCCAAAATGTTTTCTCAGTGAACATGTTGAAATAATGTGTCAAAGTAAATTGTCTTGTTAAATGTCAAACAAGAATAATCAGAAAACATTACTCCTTTTCCATTTTATTATTAATAGGCCCAATTTGTGATAATTATCTGTAAATGCTGGGAGAAGAGAGGGTTAGCATGTGCACATCGAAGGGACTAAAGGACACTGGGCTCTTCTTGACGTATCAAGTTCCTTTAAAGTGAAGCTACAGTGACGCATTTAGTGAGGAGCAGCCATAGGCAGAGATTTCCTTATATACGACCTCCTTAAACTCTTAGCTGTTGAGTAGCAGAGGTAGGAGTGTTTATGTAATTGAGTTACTCTTATTGGGCTGAGAAAACCTACACTTGTTCGAACTGCTTTCTGGGAAGAGAGAAGGGAGGGAAGCCCCTGTCCGCTGGAAACTAAAGGAACAGAGCAAAGGCATTATTTTAGTGCCTCGGAATGTTCTGTGTTCCACCTAACAGTACACTAAAAATAAGATAAGTTCCTGAGAACAATTCTGAATTTGTAGTTCAGTTTAGTCACCTGGCAATGAAGAACTGGAATAAATGTGAGGAACAAACTTTTGGGACAAATAGCAGAGGGTAGAGAGTTCAGAAATGAGGACATTTGCGCTTGTTTCCTTGCTGGGCTTGCATGTGGAGTGACACTGCCTGTTTCACCTTCTGATTGGTCGGATTCCAATTAAATGGGGGTGCCTATTTTAACCCCCAATCAAGCACTGAAAGACTTTCCAGATGGCCTTTGGAAAGAGTGTTTGAGGGAACTGTAATGCTGGCTGTACTGACCTGCAGAAGATGGTGCAGCTGGGTCTGAAAGGTGGACGCTGCTGCCTCCGGACCGCTGTGAAAGCAAGAGAATCACCGTGAAGCAGGCTGAAAGAAAAGCTCTAAAGGGAAAGCTAAGACATTTTAATGACTATGCTTCTTTCTGCTATAAGGTAAGCCAGATTCCTCCTTCTCAGAGAAGTTGCCTTCTTAAATACAACCAATGTTATGTTTTATTTAGATTCAATGTTTATGTTGCTTGGGGAATTTTTTCTCCAAATATCAGATTCTTCCACTTAAATTTTAAAGGCGATTAATTTTGACTAATAAATGAATGCAGATAATTTTATGAGGCAAAAATGTAACAGTTTGAGAAAATGCAGCTAAAAGAATCCTATTAAACTATTCAACTTAAAATTAATAAAAACGAACATTCATTTAATCCCAACTCTCTATGGCTTATTCAATTATTTTCCTCAAAATTTTCATAGACCGTCTGGCTACTTAACCTGAGGGATTCATTTCTCCAAAGAACACATTTCCTAACTTTGTTAATCCTGAGTAGCTACAAATATTCACATGTTCTTAGTATACATGAAATATTAAAATAGAGAATATTTTCTTAAGGCTGTAGCTGGTGACTCAGAACCTACTTACATTCTAGTTAATGGCTGGGAATTATTCCAGTACGTTGCATGTTTTGTACTATTTTCTATAAAAGTTGCTTTTATTTAAACTACTGTGTTTAAATACTTAAAAGTTTATGAAACTGCTTTTTAAAAACTATTTAAAGTAAAGCAGCCTGCATTTTTCAGTTGAGTTGACAATTATACTGAGTAATTTAGGATTTTTTTTTTTTTTTAATTTCAGGTGGTGGCTTTAAAGTTTAAAGGGACCTGCGTTGCTCTGTGACTCTGTGCTGGGAAGCCAAGCTCACCACACCTCTTTTGGGTTACAGGGATACTCACGCCCGTACTCTGAGCCACAGGGAGAGCTGTGCAGGCAGCCACTGCTTAAAAGGGAGGCAGTATCAGTTTTGAAAATGATCCATGCTGTAATGTCATGAACCAGGAAGCTGGAATCCTTTAGCAGTTCTTTATGCAAATATTTGGCTGCAGCTTGAGCCGAAGGACTTGGAAAGAGTGGGTATTAGAAAATCTGCCTCATTGTAGAGTTTCCCTAACCCCGTTCCTCCCCGGCTGGGCCTGTTTGTCTGCCTCCTCCCCTTGTTATCTCCCTGAGGTGTGTTTACATTATCGTGCTTGATATTATCTTTCTAGTTGTGGGTTCACTTTCTACTTTGCTCCAATAACACAAAGAAAGGCACCTCTCTCTTAGATTTCAAACAGCACGAAAATTCACAATCTACAATTTATAAAAAGACACATCAAGGCTGTTTTAAAAATTAATGATTTAAAAAAAAGGAAGGTAAATGATATCTTTTGATAATGACTAACTCAAGTTTCCTTTTACCCTAAAGGCAAATGTGTGTGTGTGTGTGTGTGTGTGTGTGTTTGCAAATTGATCTGGCTGAAATAAGTTTTTTAAAATCAAGTGTTTCAATCTGACATACACACAGTTTCTCTGGCACTGCCTGAAGAATATTTGAATTCTTCACTGAATATGTGTCTCAACCTATAACTTCCATTTATGATTGCCTTCTTAAAATTTCAACTGTGGATACTACTCTGACTTTATAACAAATTAAGATCGATTTCTTGCTGCTCTGTAGTATTTGATACAATTAACTCTCTCCTTGGCTTAAAGTTACCCAGAGGCATCCTCAAACAATTGAACAAATTGGAAATCATCTCTGTTATACCAGAAAGGTCTGCACTAAGAAGGGGGCATACGTCATCCCTTCGCACCTGCTACCCTTGCTTACTAAGTACGCTCTCACAGCTTCCTTAGAATCCCAGATCCTTACAATGGCTTCCAGGGAGGGACTTTACATCTGGCTCTTGTAATTAAATTATATGCATGTTACTCCTCTGTGCTTGCGAGAGCATCGGCTGATACAGTCTTCTGGGAAGCAAAGCAAAGCAGGCTTTACTCTGCTGGTTCCTATAAGACATGGGCTCAGAAGTCCTGCTTTATTTCTCAGGAGGGAATTCAGAAAAATTTAAGTCAAACTACTCTGGGGAATGGAAACAGGTCAGATACACAAGTGAAATGTTCTACCCTGGTTTTAGCTCCTGTAGTGAGCCAAGAAGGGAACAGTGGCCAGACCCATCTGTAAGGGCCCAGCAGTCACAGAAGTGCCACACTCACATGCGACTTCTCCAGGTGCAGCTGAGCAGAAGTCTACGAAGTACCAAAGCTCCTTCAGGAAAGGTTACATTTTATTATGAACGTCTTGATGTTTTTCTCCAGAAGCATTTTCCAGTTCCCTTGTACCTGGTCTTATTAATCGTATAACCATCTCTGAACTGAAGGGGTTGAGGGTATCAGATGCCTGCTTAGATGGTCAGATTCGCAGAACGATGAATTTAGAGCGTAGAGAGCCAACGGAAGGTTTTCATACCATACTAAGAATAAAGCCTTAGTCTTACTTTTAGCTTAGCCATGAGCTACTTCAAGGTTTTGAATTTTACCTGTAATTGAGGTACAGATCTCTGATCTACATACCTCTGCTGGTTGTTATAAAAACTAAACGAAATAGTGGCGAACTGAAATAGAACCACTCTGAAGCCCTCTAGAAACGTAAGGGACTGTTAATGTGTTACCTGAAATTCTGCACATGGAGGTCCTCACTTTTCTAGCTGCATGTGCTGTATATGCCAAATTGCAGCTGGTTCACATCTGAACTCTAAACTCTGAGCAAAGGGTGTGAATGAACATTACTAAATAAATAGCTGGCTTTCAACCCTTGGTTAGAATTTTATTTTACTTGCTTTCTACAAATAATATTATTATTTCTCAAATAATGACAAGTGACATGTATTGAACATTTATTTTTACTATGTGGAAAGCATTCTTCCAAGGGCTTTGTATGCGATAACTCGATTAACCCTCATAAAATCCAACCATCCCCAATATGAAGATGAGTAAATGGAGGCAAGACAGATTGAGTAATTTGCTTGAGGATACACACCACGGAGGAGCTGAGACCTCAACCCAGTCCATCTGGTTCTGGAACCTGTGTTTACCTCCGCCACATCATTTGCCCCCTCCCATTTCATGAAGTCCAACTGCCACAGGCCTATTTCATGATGTCGTGCATTGCACATGGACAGCATCAGGCACAAAAACTGCTGTGGGGCAGATGCCGATGGGCTGGAGAAGGACCAATCCTAACATAGGCAATACGAGCCCCAGCTGTCAGACCCTATGTCCACACTCAAGCCAATTGTACAATCGAGGGTTTTTAGGGATGAGCTGCCCTCTCTTGGGCAATAATCCCACCTAGTTTGTTTGGTTCTGCTGCTGCCCTGAGTGCTTTTAGTAGTACTTACTAACGTTCTACTGTGTCGGGAGCAGGGGCAGGAAGGTGTATAAAGGGTCAGGGTATACCCTTATGACCGCTCAGTTCAATTTTGTAATAACCTGGAACTGCTTAAGGGTTTGTTACATTTTAAGGAAGTGGTTCTGTACTCCAGGCTGTCTCTTCTGCAGAGACAGGGCCCTCTTCTGCTGGAGACTTTAGGTGACTGATGATTTACAGACAAGTGATCTCAGAGGGTGAGTTCTAGAAGACAGAAGAGGGAAGGGAGGATGTACACAGATGCTATCCTGGAAGGGGCCCCTAAAATGAGGTGAATTTCTGGGAGAGATTTTCTATGGGTCTGCAATGGCTATACATACATACACTGTCTTCCTAACAAAACGATGTCTAGTTACCTGCTGGCTGCTCCTCCCCCTGCCGAGGACCAACGCACCTTTTATACTTTACTTTTATCTATGGGGGATGGATGGGCTCCCCCAAATCCTCAGCCACACAACATGCCCCAGCTGTCCTCTGTGGCTTCCCGATTGAGATGCAGCTGGATACAGAAGTCATAGGAACAGTGGAGGAAGGCCAGGTCTGGGGATAGAGAGGGTGTGGGGCCTTGGGTGGCCTCCGCACCTTGCAGACACAGGGTTGAAAGAGGCCCAGCATGAGCTGGCGAGGGAGGGAAGGGTTTATACTCACGGTTGCCCCTGAGGCCGCCTGGTGTGCCCGTCTTTGCTGCAGCAGCTCCTTCACTGTGATCTTCACTCGGACACCTTGATACACCTTTGGTTTTTCTGGAGAAAGGCAACTGAGTCAGTGGTCGAGTCCAAGGTCTGGGTGTCAGGGTACAGAGTGGGGACCCTTTTTATAGGCAATGGCACCCAAAGCCACGTTTCTAAGTTCAGAGAACACACACACACAAATACCAAAAGATGGTAAAAACCCAAACACCTCAAACTTGAAAGAATGAAGAGAGGCTGAGCAGGTTTCAGGGTCCCAGTGGGAGCAGAACCCATGGAAATTTGTGGGACCATCCACCCTTGACTGGGCCTCAGTCCTAGGCCAATAGTATAAGGTTTTGCTGCTCTGGAATGTGGAGATCAGTGCCCCATAACCCACCACCTTGGCTAAGTCGGGGGAACCTAGGCTTCTGGGCCCAGCCCTCTGAGAGGGTATTATGGACCTGGGGAGGGGCCAGGCCTGGGGCAGGGGGCTTTCTCTGATTATGGCGGCTGACCTGGCCCACCCCACTGTGATGTTCCCACTGGCATGGAAGTCCCGAGTCCCTTCCTTCTCCACCTGGCCAGGTGTGGCTTCTGGACAGGCTCTGACCTCTGCGTGCCCCTGGTCTGGAGGCCAGCCCTAGGGCAAGTGGTGAGGTTTGGCCAGCCCAGTCTTGGGCTGGTGAGGGACCTGCCAGACTGACCCTCGTAAAGGGGCCAGGCCTCCGAGGAACTCCCTCCCTCTCTCCCTTCTGTCTTTTCCTTCTGCCCGCTCTCCCTCGTCCCTTTTCTCCGCCTTTTCCGCGCTCCATCTTGCCCTCCTCCCTCCTTCGCCCCCGCTCCTGCTCTCCCCTTCTTTCCTTCTCTCCCCACCCCCTCCCTTTCTGGGGCAGGCGTTTCTCCGAGGCGCACTGAGGCTCTAGGGCGAGTCCGAGCAGCGCGAGCCGGGAAAAGCCATCCCGGGTTCCCAGGACCGCGCACTCCGCGGGGAGGCCGCCCTTCTGTAGGGGACTCCCTGGGGTTGGCGGAGCCCAGCCGGACAGCCCCGGCTCGCTGGAGCTGGCGGGCGCGCGCCCGAGGGGTTCACTGGGAGGGACTCTGGGAGCAGGGAGCAGCGACAGCCTCCGCCCCGGGCCCCGAAGAGCCGCAGTGAGTAGGTTGGGGACCTGCTGTTAGGCCAAGCCAAGCAGGGCGAGCTTTCAAGGTGAAGGTGGCCGCAGGAGTCCGGGGCTGCTTCGGCCCTCGACCCTGCAGGGTGCGCCCAGGAATCGCGCGGGGAGGAGCTGGGCGCGGCGGCCGGAGGTGGCCGCGGGTTCAGCCTGGGCGCCTGGCGATAGTGCCAGGATGCCAGCGCCTCGCCTGGTCACTGCGGGGCCCGCAGCTGGAGAGCAGGGATCCCCCTCAAGCCGGGTTCCAGGAGCTGGGGTCTCCCCAGGAAAGGGGATTACGCTCTTCCTAGCCCAGTCGCAGGGAATCCTGTGCCCAGCCCGCAGGGCCCACGCGCCGCGCCCTCTCCGCTCTCCAGCCTACCGCTGCCCCACCACCCAGTTCCTCGATCCGCTCCGGGCTCTGCGGGCAGCGGGCGTCCCTTGGGGTCCGGGCAGGGACCGCCACAGCTCCGCTCAGTGCGGCCGGCGCGCTCTGCCCCAGTCCCAGGCTCACCTTGAGCCTCTAGCTCCCCCCGTCGCGGCTTCTGGGCGCGCAGGGTCCGCGCCGCGAAGTCCAAGGACACAACAGCGGAAAAGTGGAAGGGCGGCCGGGGTCCTGGGGTACGCGGGCGTCCGGAGCGGCCAACTCCGCCTCTGGGCCTCTGCCCTCCGGGACAGACGCTGAGTGGGAGCGGCCACAGCGTGGCCCGCGCCCTCTCCGGATCCCCGGCCCTTACTCGCATGCCTTGACTTTGTGCCTCTCTGTTCTATGCAGGAAAAGCTGTGGAAACGCACCCGGATTGAAATGCCCCTGGCTTGCCTGACCCGACCCCAAGAGAAGCAGCCGAGTTACCCGACATTGTGGTCAGCAGGAGCTGGGTCGGTGGCTTGACGCTGCAGCTGCAGGCACTCAGCGCCTGGGAGGGCTCCTGGGCAGGGAGAGAAGCAGAGATGCAACATTTTTAATGTTTCACAAAGCATCCGGCTGCACCCAGGTCCCTGGATCAGGAGACAAACAGAATTAATGTTTTATACCTTCGGGTATAGGTTTGAGTTTTTCCCCCCTCATGCCAAGTATTTAAAACCTCTAGAAACCCATGATTTGACAATCAATGATTGCGCGATACTTTCAATTTGAATATTCAAAGGCTTAACAAAATGGACTATCTTCTGCAGAAATCCTGCACAAAGGCACCCCACAGAGAGTCCAGAGAAACAGGGAGTGAGACCCCTTTGTGTCCTGGCCCTTGCTTTTATTTTATTTTGAGCATTTTGTCCCCCTTCCCACAGACAGAGCAGATGCCCTCAAAGATGCTCTGTATTTCAGCCTTCAGGGCAGCTAGGGAGCTGTGAGTGACTTAGTCTGCACCCTCTATGAACGTCAGAGCCAGACTGGCTGGCTGGACTGATTCCCGCATACCCCATTTGTGTTTTGAGGGGAAATCTCAGGTTTTGGGGAGTGAACATGGCAGCCAGTGGGTGTGGCACAGCAACAAGTCGCTCTGGGCCCAGGTGGCAGGCCAGAGGCCCAGCAGAGGCCTACATTCTGGGCCTTCTATTTTTCTGGCTAGGTCTGGCCACTAGCGGGCTTCCCTCCCCCTTGCATCCCGCTCTTCCTGGGCTGGACACTCTGGGGTTTCACTCAGAATGCCTGCCCATTAAGACCCTTTGTAAAGGCCGGGC